ATTCCCCTCGACACCCACACGCCTTAACTTTACGGCATAAAATTTTCCATTTTAGGGAGGGATGATCGCCCAGTACTCGACCCGGAAATTGTCTCACCAATTTGGGTCCTTCCATTGGATCGGAGTAACGAAGTTCGCCTTAATGGACCGTGTCCAGTGCGTCACAAACTTTGCTAAGGGGGACTGGCTAATACGAGTAGCGTGAAGTGAAACCGCCACCTTAGCTACAGGCCTTGCTAACACCTCGCCAACATTTTATGGCTCTTTGCCACATTCGGAGCTCGTGTCCGTTGGCACACATTTTCTATTGTTCCTTGTGTTGGTCCAACAAAAAAATGACTGACAGTCGAAATGTCTGCTAATGCACGAATACGTTCATTTTGAAGCACTATAACAGCTTGCAGAGCTCTTCCATTAGAGTTTCCTATAAACGATGTTCATCAATTGCCAGGCAAAGATATCGTCTTAAGACATTTAAATTAGCCTCTTCAGTCCTTCTCTCAGCTTATGTGCAGCCTTTTCCGATTCACTATTTGTTTTGTAAGCCCAAATTTCTGCAGACCCGGATATATGGAAAAGTCTATTTTGATTCACAATGCTATATTCAATTCTATGGCAAGTTGCAGGCACTGATTCCAGTTATCTGCATGAGTAACTACTGTATGAGATAGACGGATCATTGGCAGGTTGATTTGTTCAAGTTTACTAAGTGAAGTATTCAAGTAAATAGCTTTGCGACATTACGTCCAGAAACAATGTTTTTTAGTCACGCGGCGGCCGCCGCCGCCTGCAACCGGTCAACTAAACGACTATAAAGAACAATCCAATTTGTCAATTTAAAGTATTCGCGCAATTACAATACATACAATACTGATATCACTGAAAGATTTCGGAACTACTTATGGTACTAGCATACACTATAGCGCTCTAATTCTATATTATTTTAGTGTTTTCTTTGTTTTTACGTATCGTAGATTTCGGTAAAAAATTAATGTACCCACTTTTCAGTTTAGATACAATAACTGTGTGAAGCATGACACTGTAGTTGGGGCACACAGTCTAAGCAAAGCTATACCGTTAGATTAATATGAATTTACTAGAAATATCCTAACTACATTAAATTTATTTTGTTATGTGTCTAAAAAAACTATTACCCGTTCATCTTTGTGTGTTCCTTGATACGTATTTTATTTTCATTTATGATGCTAGTAGAATATGGCGCTTACATAAAATGTGATAACCATTGTCGCGTATGTTATACGTACACCAAAATCTATCCTATATCATCTAAGTACAGTGAAACCTACTTGGATATTCTACTCAGGTATATCTGAAAGCGGCATGCTTGAGTCCAACGAAGGACGCGCCAATGCGTACAAACGACTATTTAGCTTACGGTAGTTAAAATTTAAGTTTTTGTCAAAGCTATACAAAAGATTTAGTAAAATGTTCCGTCTAAGGATGGTAGAAAGCAAAACACAATATACTAATCATATATAACCCTTCCGCAAGACAGAGAAAACTATTAATTTTACCAACATGAAAAATTTAATACATACGTTAGGAATTATATGGAATGAACAGTCCCACACGTCGTGTTTTAAAGCGGGTAGTGGGCATCACAATGAGGCCTCGTATCGGATCCACTTTAATCGATAGATTCGGATTAAGTTAAAAAGCCAATGCTTGTTAAATATGGGAATATATGCAAAAATGTTTTAAATAAATAGCGTGACCCGTTTCCAAAGTTCTCTTTCAATATTGTGTATATAGTTGAATCAGCTTTTCGATTCAGAGAATATGTATGCACAAAAAACGTAAATATTGTAGTATATTCCTCCAGTCCATAGGAATACAAAAAATGTATGGAAAAATTTAGAGTAAGCCGCACGAACAAGCGAATCGAAAATAAACCCGCGGTCTTTTCCGTCTTATCTAAAATCTATTGTTGGCTCTGCCGTGCATTTTTCCAGAAGAAGCCAGGTGCGCCCCTAAAAATACTCCAGAAATATTTTACAGATATGAATTTGTCGTCTTAACGAGTACTAGTTGGAAATTCCAATGGAATAAGCTACACATCTCCTTGTGCAGGAATTTATAAAAGAGGGCTCTTTGTAGCGGAAAGTTGTAAGGCAGTGTCAATCGTATTATCTACGTCGCATATTAGGGTGCTCTAATTTCGTTTAAAAGTTATGGGCAAAAGCATCGACATCGTTTCATATTCTGTCGTACGTCGTTACCGCCTAATTGTTGCACCCGTTGGCTAAAAAGATACTGCTAATTGTTGAACCGGAAGCAACTACGAAAACACCGTTGCTACAGTAACTGTTTCACGTTAAAATGGTAGCTAGGTATGAGAATACATAAATATGTTACGATCGTACTTAGGACTATACGTAACTGCGATTGGTCTACTCGATACAGGGGCGTGTTAAGAGCAGTCGAGTAATCAACTAGAAAACACTCTAGTTAAATGCAGAATAGTTTTTACGCCCACGATGTAACCTTTAAAGAGCATCATTCGAAAGCAGCCTTTTTATGGCAATATGTCAGTTTCTCAGTTGTTTTTTTAACACTGTCAGCTTGATGCGCTCTCAAGATCCTTGGCCGTGAGGGATACATGCATTGCTGTCTGTCAGGTTTTTGTACTGGCCGGTTTCCTACTCGGTACAGGCTCGTGATTAGAAAGCCTTTTTTGCGAATATAAAGGTTCTTGTAGAGAGACGACCATTCGCGAGCTTGCATAGTGACATGCCTAGCGTATGTTGTTGCAAGCAAGCAACCATAAGATCCAAACGCGTTAAAAAACATCAATCAATACAAAAGCTTGAAGTTGCATCGGACTCGACAGCCGTGAAAAGCAACACATCATTGTCAAGTATTATAGTTTAGCTATAATATTGTTATTGCTAATAATGTGATACTTGCATTCTAATTTGCGATGAACTAAAAACTACTAATAGTTTTGAGCAATTTTGGGAGGAACTTCGATACACTTCGTAGGGCAATGAAGATCTAAGAATCTCATCTTATAAACGCCCTGTTTAATTTCAATACATGGACTTCGCTTTAGTTTGGCGGGATCGTGCTTCTTTCCCCCTTTGTTTGTTCCACATTGGTTCCTATAGGTTTGCTTATTAACATTGTTGTAGGTGCGGCAAGCGATCATCAACAACTAAGGATGATGTGATCAGAAAAAATCACTTATTATTTGGCTTATTATTATTACTATTATTAGATCCTTATAGGCGGCTGCTGTATATTATATTTTTATACCACCATCATAGCGATCATTGTGTAACCAGTCGATAAAGTCTCCTCTATGAATAAAATTACTATTTTGCTATTCAAGAATAAATTAGATAATGCATCTGAAGCTTCTTTTCAGCCTTTAAAATAGGACCTACTTATACAAGAAACAGGCCTAGTATTGAGTAATATTGGTTATTTATTTTGACCATTTTTAGTTTGCCGCAGAAAGTACGGTCCTGCTTCCTATGAAAAGGGCACCATACCATGATATGTCTGGAAACTGAAAAAACCTGTTGCATGCATTGTAGGATAAGATAAGAGAAAAATCAGTTCTCGTTGCAAAGAGGATTTATGTTGTCTTGTTCTATGATTTTTGCGACGGAACATAACCAAATATTTTTAGTCAATATTTAGTACTTTGTAGGTTTGCTACACAAATTCATAGATGCGCTTTTCATTTACCAAGCGAGAATTTACCAAGAAGTTTACCAAGTGATAATTTGTTTATAGGAAGGCCAATGAAACCTATTAAGTATTGTGTTATCATCATTGACTCCGTGAATGTCGGTGAATCGTGCTACCTTTTTCCAATCAATATCCAACTTTTTCTTTTAACTCCGGTGAAACCTAAAGAGGATACGTTACAGTGAAGACCCTCACCCTGACGCAAGTGACCCACACTATTTACGACTAACAGTCTAGCAATGCATGAGCGATTGGTAAATGAATATAAGGAAAAACTTGTTTTCTGGTAATTTTAAAATTACATGCTTAGCCGAACTTTCATAGATACTACTTTACGCTTTTCTTTATTTTATAGAAAAAAAAAAGAATAATTTCTTATGCAATATTGGGAAAAGTATGTCTACAAAATTTTTCGAGCGTTATGAATAGCTGCTTCTACGCTGACGAAATCTTCATTTTACTTACAAATCAGCGAAACAACGAAATCTACATGGGAGGATTCGCTTTTGACGACTGCTTGCAAAATACTTCTACGGAAATAAAAAGAAAAGTGGCAATGCACACATTTCTTTCAATACCAGTCAGTCTAAAGTAATGTCGAAGGAAAGTTAGCAACTGTAAATTCGGATTGCATTTACATAGAACTCTAGACTTCTAGTGAAAATGCTTATGAGAAAAGGATGGCGCCATTTTTTAATTCAATTTGTTAAGAAAAGGCGGAACTTATTCCAGTCTATTGGAATAAGAGATCTATAAGAATTTCCAGACAAGAGCGTAATTCGCAAATGTCAATGACGCATCACAAAGCTGCGTGCAAATTGAATTCTGTGCTACTGAGCTTACTTCCAGCTATGCTACTATATGGACAAATCCTCAAGGTAATTTTTTGCGGTACTGCTTCAAAAACTCTTAAAGGAACCCTTGTTAGACCTATCTGCATTTTGTCTAGAGGACCTGAAGCGGGAAAGAAATAATAACTCTTATAGCGATTTTTTTTTCAATTATTTGGCTCTTGTGTAAAACTCCAGTGGCTCTTGTCACCGTCTGCCAACGTTGAAATTTGAATCAGCGGTGACTAGTATTCATGTTGTCTACGATTACCAGGACAACGCAATCGAGCCTGCATAACAGCCACAGAGAAAACGTCGCCTTCAAACGGCGCCGATCATTTACCTAGTTCTAGCTAATGAAGTACAATTAGCATTATATTAGAGATATTTCCTAATATTCAACAACCAAACAAAAAGAAAATCAATAATTATCTCAATTGCATATGGGTTTATTTGGTTGCATTTATTCACATGTAGAAGTTCCACACAATCCCTATATATAATACCTACACGACAATATTGTGCCTCCGCATATATAACATTACAAATCGATATACATCACAAATTACTTATACCGATATGCCTGTTTTTTCAAAAACATATAACCACTAGTATTACTTACAATTACGACGAACACCCGCATATATAGTGAAACGATAAAGCTTTTATGATTAAAACATTGGTGCTCACAACAGTTTTAGAGACATTTGGAATAATTCTACGTAATCTTTGGTTTATAAAACGATTCTCTATAAGCTATTCATTTATAGTGGCATTATATCAAGTTCTTCGTTGAGTTTATGTGAGTGGAGTAAAAGGTCTGTATGAACAACGAACTCCCGCTGTTAATACATAGTACCTAGCACATATTACCAGCGACTACTTCGGACTTTTGAAGCTTTAATTAAGAACGACGGGCAAAATGAGGGAATGGACACAACGAATTTCAGCTATTTGCTAAGGTTCTTTGAGAGTTTTCAAGTGGAGTGCGGTGCTTTAATACAAAAGAGCCGCCGAGAACCAAAATGCTTTATCTTGTTTTTGGAAGACCGTTTTGACTGGGACAACGCCCTAGTATATATGGTCCAAATGATACTTTTTCATATAATAACAGCCCAGAGCACACCACTACCAGAGAGCCTGGAAAACTCAAATTAGCTTCTTCTGGAAAAACTTGCTTACTATCGCTGACCAACACCCACAAATGGTAGATACAATGTCTATGGTGCAGCTGGGCAGAGAAAGCCAAGCGTACGTAATACGATCCTACAGCTTCGGTTTACGTAGAACTCAAAGCGTTTCACTTACAAATAAACTGTGCACTAGAAGGCAGGTTTTCCCTATATGGATATATAACTTCAGAGCGTTGCAGTGGCTTTGTTAAACGGGTAAATATTTGATGGCGTTGACTGATTATATCCAATGTATGCTGAACGGTAACACAGTCGTGCTGTAGTCGTTGTCAAACCTAAAGGTACTCTCAAATACTTGTTGGAATTACTCTTCTGTTGGTGCAATATTATAAGAGGCTATATTTATAAAAAAAAAAATTATATATATATATATATATAAAATGCGTTTAAAAACACTAAAGCACCTCCATTGTTGCCAGCTGCTGCTGTCTATATTTAGCATGCTGCATCTCCAAATGACCGACAGTCCTTTTGTTCCAACTGGACTATAAAGCCAGCTTACTGGACGAGATATTCTGCCCATTCTTCGGTGGGCTCTTTCGGCGCCTCAACCCATCGAACTGGCACCGTCTGCCCCTCGGTACTTTCATAGGCGTCCCACTGACGTCGCACGTCCACCAGTTCTTCTGCACTATGCAAGGGGATATGACGTTTTCCACCAAAAAGGGCCACTTCGATATCCGGAACGCGGTTTGATTTTCCGTAATTCGTTTTTGCCTCTACGATTTTTTTATTGTTACCGTCCATCGCTTCTTCTGCATTCAAATCTACAAGAAGACTTCTTAGTTTTTTCATAAGGTTTTCGAAAACGAGCGTGAACTTTGTTTCACCTGTTTTGCTGTATTTCCAAAAATGCCTCAACAGTAAACGCCTCCGAAGTTCATGCAACTTCTCTAGCCTACGAATTCGCATTTGAATCTCACTGATGAGCTTGTGTAGGTTTTTGTTGTCTAACTGCAAGCTTGTGTTATTAGATATGTCGGATGACCCTGTTCCTGTCCTTCGGTCCGTGGCTCCTAAAGGCTTACTATGGGGTATAAACTTAATTTCTTGCAATTCTACCATGTCTTCACGCTGTGTCGAATCACTAATGTTCCTTTGGTTTGAAGCTTCCTCGCTACTATCTGTGGCCTTGTAATCAGCTAGCATGATACCTTTATTAGTCGCATTCGGGTCCTTTGTCGATGTTAAATCTGTACGCAGCGCGAAATACCGAAGCCTGGCCTTCTTCTTGGCTGCCTTGCGGCGCTGTCGCCTTTTCCAGTTTCGATTTTGCCTCTTCGTATCGACTTCGCTTGGCGGATGGTCCATGACTTTTCAACTTGAACTTTTGTTAAAGGAATGGTTCAACGTAAAAGTTCCAGGGAGCTATGACGACAAGCTGCAGCGACTCCATCTACAAAGAGAAATAAGGAGAGTTTTACATATAATGTTTTATCTAGTAATGCTGCCAAATTAACTACTTTTTCAGCCTATGCAAAAATAGTCACCTCACTCGTATAAATTAACGTTTGCACAGAATATGCATTCTTCAAAAGAATACCCTTTGTCGTGGTTTAAGATTTTTGATGAACATTTATGGACAACATTATTTACATTTTTTTGGCATAATTATATCGAACTTCGTTCTAAAGATATTAAATCGACGTGTAGAATAACACCATTTATTCACGATTAATAAATAAATTACAGACCATAAGTCATCATCGATTAAAAAAAATTAAAATAAATTACGGAAATTAGGAGATTAGGTTACCTAATAATACTCTATTCCATTAATATATAATATAACCTACTTTCTATTCTCTCTTGTCTTTCTTAACTTAAGATTAATATAAGTTGATTTCTTTACCTAATCTATAATCAAATATTTACCTCTAATTTGACTTGATTGTAAGTTGTTTAGGATACCGAATTCTCACCCGGGTTGGCTTTTGTATTCGCTTTTTATCGTATCCTACGATTGCTAAGGAAAAACGACAATTTGCATTAATTACAAGATTATCTTTTTATTATTACAAATGCTAATAATAATGGCTGTTTATCATTCAATTTTATAAAACCTTATCGAGTGATGGCCCTAATTTATCTATTTTTGCCGATCCAACACATTCCTCATTATCATATAGGACCACATGTTGCCCTGGAGTGATCGCTCGTTTAAAGTGACCAAGCTGAATTCTTATCACGTTGTCAGTATTTTCAACCAGACGGCATCGTGCCACTGGGTCGGTATGTTGCGTCTTAAAGTCCAGTGATCCTGTCCATCCGCGAAACTTTTCATTTATCCAATGAGGATTCTTTGCCTTGAAACTGTCGCATAAAAGCCTCGGATGCGAATGTCCCTTGCAAACCATGACATCGTTCCCTGGCGGTAATCCTGCGATGTAGTATGGCTTGCCCAAGGTTTCAATGCGAGCTCTTTGGCCTAGTGTCCAATGGTGTTTACCCGTATGCTTTCCGACGATCTTGCCACTATCTACATCAACAAAATTTCCTAGCTGCGGCTCAACGTAGTCGTCGATAAAGTTATAAAACTTTCGCCTGCCTATGAAACAGATACCCGTCGATTCCTTGCGATGCGCCAGTGAAGGCAAACCCATTTCAATGGCAATCTGCTTCACGCGCTTTTTAGGTAGTTCTCCTATAGGGAATTCAGTAAATTTCAACGCTTCTCTTTTAACAGCGGCCAGGAAAAATGTCTGATCTTTTCTGTGATCTAAGCCTCGCAGTAAATGCATTTGTTCTTTGTGCTCTCGTAGTCTCGCATAATGGCCAGTTGCTATTTTTTCTGCACCGAGTTTGTCCTGACAATATCGAAACATTCGATCGAATTTAATATGCCGGTTACATAAAACGTCCGGGTTTGGTGTAATGCCGGCACTGAAGTCAGCAATCATTGGCTCGAATACTTGCAGCCAGTACTCCTTCGAGAAATCGGCTGTGTGAAATTCCACATCAAAATGCGTAGCAATCTCCCGAGCGGATTTCAGATCTTGCGATAAGTCGCAGACGTTGTCTCCACCTTCGTTCCAATTCTTCATAAAGACTGCTTTGATAAGCCGGCGAGGCAGCCTTTTTAGGAGCAGGTGTAGACTCACCGCTGAATCGACCCCGCCAGACAGCGCGCATGCAATCATCTGAGGAGACATGAACAAAGAACGCAGTTGCTAAAACGAATCAAGAGTACCCTTTGATATCTGTTTTAATGATAACTCAGTTTGTTGCTTTGATAGTCTGCTTTTGATATCTAAAATAAATTTCACTTAAAGCGATATCCCAATCCAAAAATAGCTACTACTCAAGTAGTGGAAATGGCTTGATTAAGTACTGTAGCAATGCCTCTAAAAGCCTATGTTGAAATAATATCAAACAAGTGCTGAAGGAAGAGCAGAAACAGATAAAAGTGAGAATTAACGGGGTTGTATTGCTGCAGTCAGAAAGCGCCGACTAAAGTCCCATACTACCATAGCAAATATCTAGAGATAAGACCCGGTATCTATAAAGGAGATTAATACCTTAATTTTATTAAAGAAAACCCTAAATGAACTTCGATTTCATTACCTACACATGAATTTTGTAAGTCTATGGAGCCCTATGTTACTAGTTTTTTTAACAATCAAAATGAACCTTTTGGTAACATTCAGATGGGATAGACGGGCAGCAGCTGAATCAATAAACTTGGTAGATTTAGTTCTTGATGAAAAAGTACCTCTGTTTACTGAATTTAATGAGCCAAATATGAATCAGCAACAGTTTAAGTCACAAAAGGCGAGTATATCTCCAATATTAAGTAGGCTTTAAGCAATCTAAAACTTAATTCTGCGTAGGAAATAGGCTGGTTGGCTAAGGAACTGGCATCTTTGAGTACCTCTTGTGTATGTATAAATGCACTTTCCTGTAATTTAAAGCGCATATAATAAATCAACAGTTTGTTTTGAATGAAATCGTATCGCGGACATGCTTTTTTTTACTGGCGGTATCTGGTACTGCTTTCAGGGTGTCACAAATAGCGAAATATCGGTAAAACTTCGTACATTCTATTGAATTCTTACAATTAGTTGAAAGTACAAGGGTACAAATACTGAAAAATTAAAATTTTACAGCCACCACCATGACCTCAACTTGCTAAGGTAACACCCATTTAATGATAATCACACAAAAATCATAATGATGGTGTCCCACCTTGACAGTAATTATCTATTTTAGGAAATGTATCGAATTTCAAGGAAATAATATAGTAATCTGTAACGGTGCTTTCTGTATCTATTGATAGCGGGCAGTCCAAAGGCTTATCATTTTTACACACTCTAAAAAGCTTAGTAAGCGCCCATATATGCTTATATAAAAGTATTAAATATACTTGGTACTTACTAACCACGCAATGTTGTACTTTCTAGGACGAACAAAGCTAACAAACATTCCTTAAAATGTAGTATGCACACTTTGTTTTGCTGCTATTATACACCCATCTCCCATGAATAGCACCCATGAAATAGAGTATAAACCATACCTCGTAAATCTTCCGTAGTTAAATTTCGATTCATTTTATTTATATGGCTTAATTGTCACAGTGGTGCCTCAGTTAACTAGCGGACAGGGAAAAGAGGGGGGAGGGGTATTTAGACGTTATGTTCGGAGTATAACTGGTTCAAATCCATTAGCACACGTTTATATGCAACCTGTGTTTCAATAAAAAAAGTACTTGGCCAATAGCTAGTTTATCGCCAAATAAACTTAAGGGCTTTAAGTATTCAAATTATATGTAGTTAACTACTAGAGTTTTTTTGAATTTGTCTTAAAAAATATTGAAACGACTAATATTTCTATTACGGCTTGCGCTGTATTGAGGCATACGAAACTCGACAATGGATTCGGTCTCTAGTTCAATAATTCAGATAATAATAACTCTTCATTTTGTCATTAAATTTTCTCTCATATCTAAAACCCTAGGTTTCTAAATAATTACATAGCTGCCTCTAAAATGTTTTTATTTCTCTGTGTAAAATATTTTAAAATAAAAGTTTGGCTAGTTTCTTATATTTTGACGATATTAGTTCTACTATATATGTTCTAGCTAATAATGTATATACGTGTAACGACCTGGTAGTGAAAAGGCACTTTTAACTCAGGTATATCGCTTCGAGTAGGATCCGAAGAAAGAAATCAACATAATTCAACATTCACAGAAAGTCACTTTGCGGCGATCAGTAAATAAAGTATCTGACGAAATACAAAATTATTAACCACATGCGAATTTTCCGGTTCTAGTAAACTGCAAGAGTTTAAGAATATTTTAGTTTTCAAAGAGAATTTTATATAATCTTGCCAAGCTGTTGGACAAGTGAAGTACTAAACTCAAGTGTTATGTGGATAAAGCAAAATTACAGAATTGGTAAATGTAAATATTTGTTTAGATTACTTTATTTTTAAGTTATGTACGAAATCATTATTCGTTGCTCACCTGGGTTTTCGCTTATTGTGTCATGCTGAGGGCTCATTCTTCTGAAAAAGTGAACTCTTGAAGACCCCATCGAGGTTTTAGCAATGTATACAAACATTGCTTTAGGTCACTAACATCAACTAATACAGAAAATGTAATAAGAACCCCAAGAAACACAACACCTGTTAAATTCTCATGATACAACTACGAACAGTTTAATCTGTACCGTTATATTAGCAGCTTAACAAGATATTTGCTCCTCATTTTGTATGAATTGTGTTAAGTACACCTACATCAAAAAGGACATTTAAACTTTCCTTTGCATGTTAATAATATACTATGGAGTGAATTGCGTATTGAACAACCCAATATTATTTGAGACATTCCGGATTTATATTAACACAGTTATTATTCTGGTAAAGGTTTGCAGCGAGGCTTATAGATTTCAAAACTATACTTTGGCACATACGTATGAAGAATTTTATCCAGGACCTCAAGATCGAGTTAGGAAAGATCGTTTGTAGCAAAAAGCAGTAGTCACAATCCGCATTGCATAGGAAATACATACTTAGTAATTTTTATTATTCGACGAAGATCTCCTAATAAGTTGAGCGTCTTCATCTTACTGTATAATATATATATAACACTAATCTACAGATGTTTGTTTCCAAGGTGGGTAATAGTAAAACACCTTATTGTTTCACAATGCAATTTATGAGCTATAAACGGAAATTAGGAAAGTCGCGCAATGTTCAGAGGCCTTACGTTGTGTACTTATTATGGCACAAAAACTATGAGAAAATAGAGACAACTTAAATGGGTTGAGCATTCTTATTTCAATATAATAAGCTGCTAATAAAAAATGAAATCCAACAATTTTCTAACATAAGGGTACGGAAAAAGCATAACAGTTAAATAAAAACTAACTTCACGCAAATGAAAGCAATTTCCTAATTTAAATCCTTCTAAAAAACTATTCCCTTACCTTGCTTCTAGCTGGAGAATGGCATCGCATTAACTTGATGTTCTCACAAGAACTCAAGTCATACGATATTTAGTGCAATAGAACTGTTGCATGACAACCACTAACGAATTGCACGGATTATCCTTTAACAGGCTGTTGTACTTTTGACTTACTGACTTTCGCGTTTTACATCCGGTATTGTTTCTATTGACTCGCACGCGTTCGACAATCCTCACATGGCCAAAATATTCGACCCGCTAAACTAGCGGTGAGCTAGACCAGTGAGCTCCACAATATTTTGCTGTAGTTTACTCCAATCTTCATTCGCGTAGCGTCTAACAGAATACTCGCTCTATGGCTTAACTACACTATGATCCTGTTCAATATATTAAGATCAGTTAATAGCCAGAGTAAGTGCAAAAACAAGTTTCGGCTAATTCATTGAGACAGGTCTGCCCGCTAAATCGAGCGGGTCCTTCTTGCCTCACAGAGTCCTACTCTCCGCCATCGGAGTACCGTTAGCGCCGAGCGGGATCGCGCAGGATTTAAGAAATAAGCAGGTGTTGTGTGGTGATGTACGGCCCTGGGAAGGAGTCCAGGACGTCGATTTCAATCTCCTTGGACACAGGTGAGTGATCTCAGTGGAGCTGCCAACCTAGCTTAATTCCGAATTGCAGCCGGCCTTTGCACTCTCGCATTTTCCTGGGAAATAGTATGCAAAAATGTATCAAGTCTACTTGTCTGACTCATCCACCGGTGTGTTCTGCAGGCCAGCTCGCTTTTTTGACCTTCGTTACGGTGTTCCGGTTAAGAGCACTTGATATTCCTGATTCACTTAAGGCCATGAGAATGTAATTCACCCTATGAGCTTTCCCACAGGCGTACCAGCAATCCGAGAAGAAAATGGAGAGAAGAGAGATGCGCCGTTATTAGGGGAGTATTACTATGCTCAGATATCAATTTTTTTATAGAACGCACCTTGCGTCTGGCCAACCTCTGAACACCTGAAATTGGCCATTCAATGTTTCGGTAAAGTGATGTGAGAGATTTTTGATCGCTGAGTATTTATCTGTGAAGCTAAGACAAATGTGTACATCGTGATTCACTCTTTTGCCCACAGAATGCGTCATCTATCACATTTATATGCTAATTGACGTGCTCCGGTTACCGGACACATAAATTTCGTTTTTTTTTTATTCAGGTAAAGTTCTTTCGTATACTTATAGCACCATATATTCCAGCAATAAGTATTTTTATCGATCGTCATTATCAAACGGTTCAATGTGATGATTCTCTCTGGCGTATAAGTCCAGCAAAGTATAGCAGGTATACTGGTAATGTCCCCATAATTTAGTCGCTCTCCTTTAGTTCTGCGTGGGCTGTGTAGACACCCGTTCGTCGGATCCGACCAGAATCAGTTACTAAGCGTCTCCCACTTGCACTGTAGCATCATATATGCATGCGTGCGTACAAATATATGGCATTAAGGTGCAGCGGTGGTTGTTAGAGAACAGTGGCGCCATCTTGGCCTCCACCGGCCCCCGAGTGTTTACACCATTGCTGTGTTGGTCTTCTTGGTTAGGGTGCAGCAGCTCGTATTTGTCTCCGTTATTCTGCTTGTTCTGAACGCCGATGTGGTCCCATTGAGTGGTGGGAGAAGTGCCAGTCGCGGCACTCAGAGGAAAGGAAAAGCCGTCTGCTTTGTAAGCGGTACATCACAAGGAGCTAAAGGTGGCGCGCAGTTTGTTGTACCGTGTGCAGTAGAAGAATAATACGATGTTGCACGACGCGCTATGATAATACAATTCGAGCCGGTTACTCTTCAATTATTTGTTCAGAGTCTCGAAAAGTTCCATCAGTGGCTCGGGAAAAGTCTTTTGCGCTAATGTTCCTCAAGGAGATGTTATAGATTTCGAAAGTGCTTCTTCTTTTATCTGACAGTACTACCACAATTTCATACGCTAATGCTTATGTCCGTATCAGATTAATGCGCTAGTAATAATGTCGTTCGGATCTATAAAACGATAAATATTGCGTTTGTTTTGTCTTGGTCAAGTAGGACAGAAAATGCAAGTCTGAACGTATCGGCTTTTTCACGACAGGTAGTGCAACCCTCGTTTCAAAATACAATAATATTAAGTAGCTTTTATTTACCTTTGTTTCCCGTGGGTGTGTGGATGATGCTAACTCTATACATCTTATAAATACAAATACAAAACAAAATTCCCGTTGAATGAGACGAATACGTGTCAGATTGCTCTTGCCAAGCACATTTTTCCTGTGTTCAAGTGTGCAAGCCTTACTGAACTATGTACCTTAATATCTACGATTCAACATGTTGCAGTGATGCATTAATACAGGTATATTCATTGTAACAATGTAAATAGCAAACTAACAAAGAAGCTAAACAAGTTGAAAGGAAAGCTAGCACGAAGAACTAAATGGTTAAACACCACATTGAAAAATAATGATAATCCCTGCTAGAAATAAATCATTAAAGTGACACGTTTGCTTACATAGTGTTGAAAAGGCCGTTTTTCCGTGTGCAATAATTATAAACTGCCGAATTGTATTAATTAATATTTTTGTCTCCTCCTCTTCCATGGTACATAATTTAATGCCCATCTTTGTCTATTAAATTATTTATTAAAAAAGCGGCGGTAACATACTTTTTATTCTATATAGTTGCATTGTACTTGCCAATACATAATCTAGCTCATGAGAAATCAATAACTACTAGGAATGGATTCTTTACTAGCCTTTTGGGCTGAGAGAATCTATTGTTAGTGATCGTTTTACTAAATCGCAAACACATCGAACGAACGCCGTTTGCTTGTTAATAATAACTACGAAATATTGCTCAAAGGGTTTGCGTGAAGCGGTAGGGCCGGTTTCTTTCGGGTTCGCTCTCAAAGGAACTGCCCAACCCTGTTACCAGAAATTTTCTAATATTGTATTCGACAGCAGTGAGCTACTTTGTACAACAGTCCGCTCTGTCCATTTTGTTAACCGGCTAACAGGACAAGCATATGCAGAAACAGCTTCGCAGCGACAGAAAAGACGAAGTTCGATGAGCAGTGATTCACCAAAACGCCATTGGTTTATAGCTTTACTGTGAACACATATGCTCGAGCGTTGTAACTATTGTTTAACTTATCGCAACTGATATTAATCCCTATGTATCTGTCTATTATAAACAGCAAATGTTTGCGGCTATCTGTCTTTCATTAAAATAATAAAGATAGAAACAAGTGTCAAGCGAAGTAAAAATGTGAGAGTAATTACGTTAGTTCTTGTTGTTCCTGGAGTAGTGCACCGCACGTATTCATTGTTCAGGCAGGCGTGTGTCTACAAAATTCTGGATTTTAGTTTTTGGTGCAAGATGTAGTAAGGTACGAATAATAGTTACCGCATTTTCAAATCTGCCTTGGGAGGGTTTTGGCACCAACAGGCAGTTAGTCTGACGAACTAAAAAGAGAATAACCAATGGCGAAGTCGAATTCATCTAAAGTATGGTTTTCGTGTTTTAAACGCCTCTGTGCCGATTTCAAAGTTAACCTTGTGACTCAGGCACTCTTTTGATGACACCAGTATTATTTTTAAATATGTATATATATAAACAAAAAATTAGATAGAAATACGGGATACATGGAATACAACCGTGCTTTTAACCGATCGGCAAGTGACCGCAGGTGTGGTTAGATGCATACAGTAGAACCGAGTTGTTCGTGGGATAAATGTTCGTGTTGCTTCAGCAGGCGAGTGGAAATTCAACATCCCCAGTTAATGTTTGCGTTATTCAGCTAAAAGCGGCTTATTATAGATGTTGAGTCTTTGAAAGGTCACAACAAAGTAATTGGACGTGCCTGAAATATTTTCATTCATATTCAAGAAAATCAGCTTAGTTATAAAGTAATAATCTGCAAATCGAGCTTCGAGAGGAAACTTCATGTCAAATTTGGGGATTATTAGTACATTTTCATGTGCCGTTCATAATTTGGGGCATATAGTTTCCGGTTTTACTTGGCATAAGGAAACTGATAGCAAAAAATGATTAAGTTTTCTCCGGTTAAGTTAAAACCAGTTAAAGCTGAAGAGCTATTAGAAAAAATATATGATCATCTAACTCCGACTGAACACGTGGCGTCGGCTGAGTTATTTATTATGGAGTAAGGTAATGATGCAAAACATTTTAATTAATATGGCAAAGTATATTTAATTGACAAGGAGCTCAACGTCAGGATAAACGGTATCGAATGATCCTATTATTTTGCCTGACATGAAAAGGAAGAGGCGTCTAAACTAAATACAGTTTGGATAATGTGTGCATTTATATTCTACAGCAGTACAATCTAGCATGAGTTAAACTCAGGGACCAGCAGAATTAACATTAAGTTTAGCCCTTTAATGTTTTTCAGACTATTTATGAAAAAAGAAACTACGTCCGATGATGCTTAGACTATGTGGCAGGTATTTAATTATAAAAGGGTATAGTGCAGCCATAATCAGCAACCTTCTATCCTATCAACTGAACTCGATTAAAGAGACACAGTTCTAGAATGTTGCATTTTTGTGGCACGTTTATGCATGTTTATTACATTATATATATTACAACGTTCCTGTGATGGAAGGCGTTGAGTATAAATAAATGCGACAAAATGATATTCGACTGAATTATATAACGTATAAAATAAGAAAAGGTAAAGACCAAACGTTTAGAGATCTAAAGCTAGAGTTTTAAATTTAAGAGAGTTTAAAGCTAGAGAAATCTTTACCATAGTTCTTCGAACGAACCTAAAATTAGTCACTGTTCTATATTTAATGTGCATTTTGTGAACAAATTCATTCTACTAGTATATGTACTAGTTTATATACATTATTAGTAGTGATACTTCCGAATGTGCAGGGTAGTCCCATTACGTACGACTCAATACATAGACGTCAATATTCTTTTCTGAAACCTTGAGACGCTTTCTAGGTCCTTTTCCTCACCACAAGTGGTGCTGTACTGCTTCTCTACAGGCAGTTGTACATCGCGTGAAAGCTTGCGCAGATCAATTTTGTGTCGAAAAATTTAGTTGTGTCTTACTGAAGTGATCAATGTAAGTCGTGTATAACGGAAAGATTGCAATGTTCTTAACATAAAGCAGAAAATGGATTGAAATATTTTAAATAATAGTTCGTAGAAATTTTACTCCGCACGGAGCTGAAACGTTTT